GTAAAAATATATATATATATCCTTTGAGAGAGTTAAAATACGAAAATGGTAATATTTAATAGGATGGTCATAATTTGGAAATAAATCTTACAATACTGCATGTAAGTTATTGGAAATTATAATGAGATTAACGCATATACCTAATTATATCATATGGAATGATAAGCGACGCAATTCCACAACCTAAACACACACACACAATGTGGAAAATACGTCGTGCACGATACACTAACACATCATCAGTCGCTGAAAAATCATTATAAACTTATGAACTAGATTCATCATGCCCATTGCCTCTCTCTCATCCAAGTAGCACCTGGGCACGTGAATGAGATCCTGGCAGTGACATGGAAAGGGTTAAATCTGAAAATCCTGAGCTAAAAACAGATATTAGCATATCTAACGAACTAATATTCTTCAATTCAAGATCTATTAATTTTATTTCAAGTTCTAATAAATTTAATTTACAAATTCAATGAATTCTTATCAATTTTAGAAAAATAAAAATGTAGAAACAATAAATAAAAAATTTATTTTGAGAATTATTAATAAATAATTGATTCTGAATGGAAATTTATTAATTTTATTATTATAATTATAATATTTTTATTAATAAAAGTAACCTCAGGCGATTTCTTTATCAAAGCATATTTTTAAAAATATGAGAGAAATATTCAAAACTTGTAACTTTGATTTCAAAATCTGCCTGTCGCGAATTGTCTTCTTGCATATAATAATTGATATATTTTTAAACGAGAGAAATAAAATTATTATCTTTATTATTTATTTAATTTATATATGTATAAATGTTTAAATATTTGACGTTTGTAAATATACTTGATTCTTTTATATATTACAATAACTTATTTTTAGTAAATGAAATACTATTATTAAAAATTATATATATTTAAAAACACGACATACAAGAAGACCTATCCTGATCTAATAAATAAAACACAAGAAAAATAAATGTTACTATTCACGGTTATAATAAATATCCGTGGTCACTGTGCTCGTGCAAAAATCTACGTATACAACCAATTACTCGTGTCGATTCGGATCTTTCATCCTACGACATGATTGAGTAATCAGAGGAACATAAATGCATGCGACTCACCAATGATGCGAAGAATCTGCATTTGTCATAACTCATGGGACATCAGGAAATGGAAACTGTAACAAAACATGGAACATTATAATTAAAGCATAATTCTATTTGAAGAAATTGAAATAAGTGGAAAATATATAAAAATAATTACCTCTTCGCGTGATGGATGATCGCCTTATTCTCTTGAAAAACACTGACTCTATTTTGTAAAAGCACTGACTCTATCTCGAAAACGAATATTAAAAAAAAATAAAAATAAAAAACTATTAACTATATTTATAATTTATAATTGGCGAAAAAACACTGACTCTAGTTTCACGACTATCATAAATAGATTTAATTAAAGCTATTGGTTTTTAAAACTATTTAAAAAAAACTGTTACGAAACAAACACTGAATCTACCAACCGCATTGCGCGCAGTTACAAAAATTCTCTGGAAATAAAATTGTATTAACAATGGAAATTAACAATAGAAAAGAAAACAAAATAATCTTTCTATATTTTTTTATTTTTCCTATCAAATATTTGTTTTAGAAAATATTACCATTATTTTCAAGTTTTGAATTTATTATTATTAATTTTTCATGAATAAAAAAAATGTCATATGTAAGAATAAAAATGTCATATACATATGTCATATGTCATATTTATATTATAGAGAATTTATATTTTAAACAAAAATATTTATATTTGTGGTGAATGTTCATTATAAATATACTTTAAAATAATAAAATATATGATAAATACCATGAAATAAAAAAAGAATAAATACATACAGTACAAAAAGTTCTCTTTGCAAAAGTACGATGGCGTCCATATTGGAATTTTTCCCGCCTTTTATATTGGCCAAACCAGGTGCAATAAACTGTGCAAAAGAAAATAAAAGTTTTTTAAATATACACATAAAAATCTATAAAATTAATCGATCACATTAAGATAATAATAAAATAAAATAATAATCAAGCACAAATTCTATCTGAAAAAGTTATAATATAAACTAATTAGAATTGTAACCGCCAAAAAAACGAACAAAGAAAAGCGAATAATTTAATCCTTGAAAGATTGAATTACAATGTACAAATAATAAACAATAATATAGTTTTCGAAGGAAATATATAATATGTATATATTACGTAGCAAATAAATCACTTTAAAAACAATCACCTCAGAAAGAATCACTTCGAAAAGAACCACGTCAAGACACTTCTGATCACCACCAATATCGATAGTACAATGACGCGTCGCGTCATACAATTTCGATTATCGAATCGAATTAGGGAAGGGGAAGGTGCGCGTCGTTCGGAAAGTCGAACATGTCGAAACGTGTCGAAAATATGTCGAGCAACGAACAAAAACACGAACGCCCAATTTCTTGGAAAGACAATGTTATGAAAAGTATTATTATGTTATCGACCTCAAGCACAACATTGAAAGAAAAAGAACGAAAAACATGTAAACGTTAAACGAATAACGCATTTAGAATTGTAATATATATGACTAATGTAATATAATTCGATAAAATACAATCGACTTTTTTCGTTCGTTTCAATATGGATGAAAAATATAGGAATCTATTTTAAATAAATTTATCTTTACGAAAAAATAAAATATCAAAACGCTACAAATCATGATTGTATATATATGCTATAAATCATTTTTCTTTCAAAGCTATTCCGAAAATAGAATAATAATTTTGCCGAATGAAAATCAAAATTGTAAAACAAATGTACAAAAAAATTAAAATTATATTAAAATGAAGCAACAAGTGAACTCTCGATCCAATGAAATACAAACTACCGGTAACCTCGACGTTAACAATCAACGAAAAAAGTACAAAAGAAACTCAAAATATTAATTACTTTCATTATTACAATAATAAATGGATTATTAAATAAACGAAATTGATATTAATTTATAAATTTGATGATAAAATATGAATAAAATTACTTACTGCGTAGTCGAATCACTGAAGCCGGAGCGAACAACACACGTCCTACCTCGATGACTTTCCACAGGAGACTGACGCCACGGTTTACTACTCGCTTTCTGATTGGCTGGCGTCGTAAGCTAATTCGATAATCGAAATCGCGCGGAAAATTAAAGCATTATATAATATTTTAATTATTATAATTAACAATATATTAAAAATAAATTATTAATTTATTTTTATTTATTTATATTTATTTTACAATTATTAATTATTTATTTAATTTCTATATTTATATTTTTTCTATTATTTATTTATCGATTATCGATTTATCGATTACTTAGTAATTTATTCATCTATTTAGTAATTTATTTGTAGATTTTTTTTATAAATTTCTTCACTTTATTAATTATGTATGCATCGACTTATTTATTTATTTGTTTAATTTTTCCTTTTTTTAAATCTGGTTTGTCTTGAACTTGCATTTCTCTTGAACTTTTTGAACACATAGTTATCGACAATATGAAAGTTTCAATATTTTCCCACGAGATGGCAAAATCAATCAAGAATCAGTAAAAAGTTCTAAATACCGTCAATTAAAAAAATTATAACTCATGGGACATCAGGAAATGGAAACTGTAACAAAACATGGAACATTATAATTAAAGCATAATTCTATTTGAAGAAATTGAAATAAGTGGAAAATATATAAAAATAATTACCTCTTCGCGTGATGGATGATCGCCTTATTCTCTTGAAAAACACTGACTCTATTTTGTAAAAGCACTGACTCTATCTCGAAAACGAATATTAAAAAAAAATAAAAATAAAAAACTATTAACTATATTTATAATTTATAATTGGCGAAAAAACACTGACTCTAGTTTCACGACTATCATAAATAGATTTAATTAAAGCTATTGGTTTTTAAAACTATTTAAAAAAAACTGTTACGAAACAAACACTGAATCTACCAACCGCATTGCGCGCAGTTACAAAAATTCTCTGGAAATAAAATTGTATTAACAATGGAAATTAACAATAGAAAAGAAAACAAAATAATCTTTCTATATTTTTTTATTTTTCCTATCAAATATTTGTTTTAGAAAATATTACCATTATTTTCAAGTTTTGAATTTATTATTATTAATTTTTCATGAATAAAAAAAATGTCATATGTAAGAATAAAATGTCATATACATATGTCATATGTCATATTTATATTATAGAGAATTTATATTTTAAACAAAAATATTTATATTTGTGGTGAATGTTCATTATAAATATACTTTAAAATAATAAAATATATGATAAATACCATGAAATAAAAAAAGAATAAATACATACAGTACAAAAAGTTCTCTTTGCAAAAGTACGATGGCGTCCATATTGGAATTTTTCCCGCCTTTTATATTGGCCAAACCAGGTGCAATAAACTGTGCAAAAGAAAATAAAAGTTTTTTAAATATACACATAAAAATCTATAAAATTAATCGATCACATTAAGATAATAATAAAATAAAATAATAATCAAGCACAAATTCTATCTGAAAAAGTTATAATATAAACTAATTAGAATTGTAACCGCCAAAAAAACGAACAAAGAAAAGCGAATAATTTAATCCTTGAAAGATTGAATTACAATGTACAAATAATAAACAATAATATAGTTTTCGAAGGAAATATATAATATGTATATATTACGTAGCAAATAAATCACTTTAAAAACAATCACCTCAGAAAGAATCACTTCGAAAAGAACCACGTCAAGACACTTCTGATCACCACCAATATCGATAGTACAATGACGCGTCGCGTCATACAATTTCGATTATCGAATCGAATTAGGGAAGGGGAAGGTGCGCGTCGTTCGGAAAGTCGAACATGTCGAAACGTGTCGAAAATATGTCGAGCAACGAACAAAAACACGAACGCCCAATTTCTTGGAAAGACAATGTTATGAAAAGTATTATTATGTTATCGACCTCAAGCACAACATTGAAAGAAAAAGAACGAAAAACATGTAAACGTTAAACGAATAACGCATTTAGAATTGTAATATATATGACTAATATAATATAATTCGATAAAATACAATCGAATTTTTTCGTTCGTTTCAATATGGATGAAAAATATAGGAATCTATTTTAAATAAATTTATCTTTACGAAAAAATAAAATATCAAAACGCTACAAATCATGATTGTATATATATGCTATAAATCATTTTTCTTTCAAAGCTATTCCGAAAATAGAATAATAATTTTGCCGAATGAAAATCAAAATTGTAAAACAAATGTACAAAAAAATTAAAATTATATTAAAATGAAGCAACAAGTGAACTCTCGATCCAATGAAATACAAACTACCGGTAACCTCGACGTTAACAATCAACGAAAAAAGTACAAAAGAAACTCAAAATACTAATTACTTTCATTATTACAATAATAAATGGATTATTAAATAAACGAAATTGATATTAATTTATAAATTTGATGATAAAATATGAATAAAATTACTTACTGCGTAGTCGAATCACTGAAGCCGGAGCGAACAACACACGTCCTACCTCGATGACTTTCCACAGGAGACTGACGCCACGGTTTACTACTCGCTTTCTGATTGGCTGGCGTCGTAAGCTAATTCGATAATCGAAATCGCGCGGAAAATTAAAGCATTATATAATATTTTAATTATTATAATTAACAATATATTAAAAATAAATTATTAATTTATTTTTATTTATTTATATTTATTTTACAATTATTAATTATTTATTTAATTTCTATATTTATATTTTTTCTATTATTTATTTATCGATTATCGATTTATCGATTACTTAGTAATTTATTCATCTATTTAGTAATTTATTTGTAGATTTTTTTTATAAATTTCTTCACTTTATTAATTATGTATGCATCGACTTATTTATTTATTTGTTTAATTTTTCCTTTTTTTAAATCTGGTTTGTCTTGAACTTGCATTTCTCTTGAACTTTTTGAACACATAGTTATCGACAATATGAAAGTTTCAATATTTTCCCACGAGATGGCAAAATCAATCAAGAATCAGTAAAAAGTTCTAAATACCGTCAATTAAAAAAATGTGAGAATATAACTTGAAAAAAGTGACAAAAATTTATTTACGTTATTAGATATATAGATTTTTGTTAAAAATTTAACACTTATCTACAGAATACTTATTTTTTTTTACTTTTTAGACTGAATACATATTAACAAACAGTGAAAAATGTGTGTTATCTCTAATAACAATTGAATCGTTTAACATGTAGAAAATATTTGAAGAAGAATAACAACAAACCTGTATAATAATTCGAAAGATTTTAACAAAAATTTCATAAAATTTAACAAAATTTAAAGCTTAAAAAGAATATTATATTCTTATACTGCACTTGACTAGTGCTGTCACCATGTGGTATAATACGGAATTATATGCAATTTTGGCGGTATTTATACTTATTTTTTATTATTATACGTTCATCTTTCTTTAATAAAATTTAATTAAAATTATAATATAATTAATAAAAATTTCAGCTATCATTAATTTCAATCATTTATAAATTATTCATCATTAGTACCTAATGTTGTTTCTAAGAAAGGATTATGTTTAATGACATAGCAATGCATAAGGTATCTATGACGCAGTTTATTATACAATTACAATACTGTTACTAATCATATTGTGATAATGATCGTAGTAATAGTATATTCTAGATAACATGAAATATTCCAGATTGATATGATTTTATTTATACAGCTCCATTAACGCACATTCATACATCTCTTTTTCCTTTCTCTCAACCCTTTCGTTCAAACTTCCGGTGAATCCTTTCAAGATCAACACGGAACATTTATAGGGCGGACATCAGAAACATGCTTCACGAATAATTAATTGCTAATCGTAATGCATCCCATGGCATGAAATCTCATAACCATAGATACGCGTGAACGTCTTAAAAAGGTCTCACAAATCTCACGAACACGCTTCTAAGTCTTGGTACAAAATAGTTTAGACGACTTTGTCATCGAAATATGGACTATTCTCCATTCTTATGATTTTAATCTTTTTTTAAGAACTATCATACCGTGCTT